ATGTTTTAATGAGTATAACTATTTATTATTTGTTCAATCATGTTACAGGGTAAATATTGGTATGGAAAATAAACTTGTAGCTTCTTGGTCACGACTCACTCCCAGCAGGCGTTGGTCTTAACTGTGAGATTTGCACCACCCTAACCTGCTACATGTGTGTATATGTGCATATGTGTGTAGAAATACATACGTGAGTATACTGGTCATGTGAACGCGTTTACTCATGTGTGTATATTTACACCAGGAGCAGATTTGCATCATGTCTGGAGCAGGTGCAAATGCAAATGTAAATTTGCACTGTGTGTAGCCTATATGTTACAAGGTGAATGTTTATGTCAACGTAAGATGATGATCTAATTCATAGCTGTTATTTTGCCAACACCAAACAAATTGTCAACAGTTGCCAACTTTTATGCGTATATACAGAGTTGAGCGGACGGTGTACAAATTAAATCAAACACATGTTGCTTCACGCGAAAATCTTTGGTGAAGTAACTCTCTTCTCATTCAACTTTGATTGGAAAACAACCTGTTTTGTGTTGAAAGTCGTGAACAGACTGATGAACATGTGTGCCTTACACAATTTACATACTTTATTTACACACCTGAGATGCTTTTCATGTGAACGCATAGTACATTTACACATACGCATGTATGTATAGTTACACATGTGTAATTTACTTACGTTAGCAAATGTTGTGCGTGTGAACGGGGTATTAGTTGGCGACTTCATTAGAAACCTGACTCCACACAGCCAGCCATCAGAAGACCCGTCCATAGCCATGTTCTTGAATCAACAGCCGTCCAGGCCATATGCACTGAAGAACTAGCTAAGCCTGGCCTCATGGGAAGCAAGGAAGCAAGATGACGCAGTTGACATTCTGCCCCCTTCGCAATCAATGCCGTGAAACCTACGTGAGATTGTTTGAGTGAGTGAGTTGGATTATACACCGCTTTGAACAGTATTCCGGTTATTTCACGGCGTTTCAGCTTAAGGTGAGTGGAAAGCCCAGCGTGATGCAGGTCTTAGACGTTTACTACTTTGGCGAAACCCACGAGCACAGGTATGGTGCTGACAAACCTAACATGATCGGGGTGAACCGTGATTCGAACCCACAATCATATACTCAACAACAAAAGTTCCTGTGACAACAATATTTTAGTGTATTTTTCAAACAAGTAAAGTTTGGTTTTCAATATTGTAGTACATGTAATGAATCAAGTCACAAAAACGCAACTGCTACAGAAAAGCATGCATTCCATGCAAAAGTTGACTTTTATGCAAGCCCCATGCATTTCACTACCCAAGAATGGGTATAAAAACATGTGCGTTTACGGGATTCCATATGCATTGTTCAGCATCGTGCTGACAACAACCAGAAAAACAACAAAATTACGCAATTAATAAACATCACGAAATGCCACGCCTGTCCGAAAATGAGCGTCGGCGAACCATTGGTATGCTTGAAGCAGGATCGAGTCAACGTGATGTTGCAAGACAATTTAACGTCCACAGAAACACCAGTCAGAGACCATCCTCGGAGTGGCAGGCCAAGCGTAACCAATAATCGACAAGACAACTGGATTCGAACAACACACCTACGAAATCGATTCCAGCCAGCAACAGTGACTGCAAGAAGCATCCCTGGCCTTCGACGAATATCTTTACAAACCGTACGTCGTCGCCTCAGATGTGCAGGGATTGTCGCCAGAAGACCCACCAGACGTCCCATTTTGACAGGAAACCACCGTCAAGCACGTCTACAGTGATGCAGACAGCGTCTACGCTGGACGGCCATGCAGTGGGGACAAGTTCTATTCACTGACGAGTCTAGTTTTCACCTCAGCCACAGCGATGGACGGATTCGAGTGTACCGACGTCGAGGTGAACGTTACGTTAATCATTGTCATGGAAGAAGATCGGTTCGGGGGCGGCAGCGTTATGGTATGGGGTGGGATTACAGCAAGACAGAGGATCCGTTTGATAGTGGCAGAGGGAAATCTCAATGGACAGCGCTACCGCGACGAGATCATCGGCCCTGTTGTTCTACCGTTTTTGCGTCGTCATGGCCCAGGCATTACCTTTCAACATGACAACGCCCGGCCTCATATTGCTCTACTTGTCCAGGATTCTCTTCACCGAAACAACGTGAATGTCATCCCCTGGCCGGCTCGCTCCCCTGATCTCTCACCAATCGAGCACATGTGGAATGAGATGGTTCGGCGTCTTCAACGTCAACCACGTGTTCCACAGACTCTCAAGGAACTTCGAAGCATGCTCCAGCAGATATGGACAGATATCCCACAGGACTGGTCCATTCCATGAGACGAAGATGTGTTGCTTGCATCGCAACCAGGGGTGGATACACTATTAATTTGTAAACTGACATTTTGGCATGTTCATGTTTTCTTTATGAAATCACGCATTTTCTGTAGTCAGTATGGCAAATCAAACCATTTGAACACTTACAGGAGTCTTTTATCTGTTGCAAACAGAAATTGTTTAAGATTAGGTAAAAAACATACTTTTGCATTAAATCTTATTCAAGAACTTTTGTTGTTCAGTATAGTTTCTGGCGTGCCCAAGGGACGCAACACCTTACAGCGATTTGCGGCGCCTTAGACGACTAGGCCACCCGTGCCTCCGAGGTTATTTGAGATACTGAATACTTTGGTAAGAGACCGTCCGTCCACTTCAGCCGCAGGTGACCCGTGAAGATCCGGGTTAGAATGGGTCTTCAACAACCCATGCTTGTCGTAAAAGCGACTAACGGGATCGGGTGGTCGGGTTCGCTGACTTGGTTGATGCATGTCAACATATCCAACTTGCGTAGGTCTATGCTCATGATGTCAATAACTGGACTGTCTGGTCCAGACTCGATTTTTTACAGACCGCCGTCATAAAGCTGGAATATTGCTGAGGGAAGGTGCAGAGACTAGATATGGTGAACCTCTACCATGCCAACCCCGAAGTCAACCAATGGGTCCGTCGTGCTGATGCCCTGACGTCCCTAGCTCTCCGCCAAGTACGAGATGGGTGGATGAATGCCACGGACCACACACCCGACATCCAACGGGCTATTCTCTTCAACGACTACTCGTCCACAATTGGGTCGATGATGACTGCCGCTTCCCACATGCTGTACGGAATCACAGCAACACAAAAGCATCAAGGACAGACACTCATCTGTCAACAAGGCAGTCCTCTGGGCTCAACCTCTTTGCCCTTATGCAACAGGGTGCTGCTGTACAAAGCAATCTTAGCGCTAAGGTGATCGTAACTCCCAAACCTTAACATAGACTTACGCCATCGTAGCGCTAAGGCTGTTTTGTACAACGGCACCCAGGATATAGGAAAAGCTGAAGGGAACAAACTTGTCCGTTTTCTGCACGTTGCCAGACCTCCTCGCAAGAGACTTTACAAGGAAACCTGTTTACAGAGACTGAAATACCACTTTATCGAGGGAGGCGTGAAGTCCCCTTCCTAGATGAATTCCTAGATGCTGCAGGACATTTAGTTAAACTTGGTTGAACTGTTGAACATTACTTGGTGTTAGGTTTCTTATATGTTATTTTTCAGAAATAAATTGATATCATAGTGCTTGTTCATCTGCTGCTGCAGTACAAAACAATTTATTTCTCTGAAATAGTTTGCTGAAATGTTAGACATTTGGAGTATTACTTGGTGATTATATTATGATATGTCCTATTTGGTCTTTGTATATAACACATATACTTCACTCTCTCTTATTCTTCTTCATTTTACCCCACACGGGATGGCCTACTATGTAGGGGTCAGCTCATAACTCCAATCACTAGTGCATAACTTTGTTTTGACAACACCGTAGACGGAAGGACATGCAACATTTTTTTCCGTAAATGGTCATCTCCCATGTGTCAGACATCCCATGTGTCAGACATCCCATGTGTCAGACACCCCATTTGTGAGGTAAGTTCAAACAACAACTTTTATGGTTGAGGGCACGTCATGTGTGTGATATATTACCTTAAATCCGAATAGACTAGTTCTGTCGTCAACAGCTGTCTGACAACTGGTAAAAACGAAAACAACATTTATACAAATCAGTGTTTTTTCTTGATGTATTATTGCTTTATATACTTTGGGTTGTCCTTGAGGAAGAGACTTGTTCAGCTGATAGTGGAACCCTTCCAGATTATTGTTGGTCCTTAGGTCTTGGGTACCATGATGGTTCCACATCGGTATCCGAAATCTGGCATCATCGTCGATCCAGTTGGCTACTATGTAGTCGTTGAACTAGTAATCTTGCTGTGATAAGATCCAATCCACCCTTCTAACAATACCTGTTGTGTTCCTCTTGTGGATGTGGCGTACTCAACTTTGCGTAATGCAGCTCCGGCCATGGTTTGGTATCTAATCTGCTGTTGTTGTTGCTTAAGTGTTTAAGAGCGCACCTTCTGCCTTAGCAATTTCGGCTGACCTGTCCCTCTTTGGGACTCATGTGTGTGAGTAGGGTACACATATCTATTACGAGTTTGGTATTCACCGAATTTCTGTTTTTGTATTGATATGATTTCTATTTTCGTATATTGATATAATTTCATTTTTGTCTTTGGCTGCTCTGTTTATATACGTTCGAGATGCTGTCCATCTCTCAGAAATAGAGTAAGTTGGGCCTTCGCTATTGCATCTCCCGGCTTTTGGAGATCTAGGACACAAAGCGGATCTAACTGCAATTCTTGTTTTAACCGAGCCCGGGCTGGGACGTGGTCTTGGCAATCCAGTAACAAGTGAGCAATGGATTCAGGGTGATTGCAAGATGGACAAACTGGGTGTCTGACACCGTACCCACCCATATCCCTGCTTTCGCTGTGTCATTTTGTCATGACCCCAGGGTTAGACAGATTCCACTAGTCTGGTTTCAATCTCGAGATAAAGATTGTGCGCAAATTATTGTCGCGCTCACTGACGGGAGAACCTGTTGACAGGTGCTCGATGAGAGTTACTTCCCTTAGTAGAAACCACTGGCAACGGCGTTGTTGAAGTATGGCCGACGCTTGAGAGTTGTTGATGACATGCGTGGTCATAGATAAGAAGAAAGAAGGCAGATATTACCATTGCAGTTCTATTATATACTTAACTGGGCATCATGGCTGCTGTTCTAAAAAGTGCAGCTGTGTCAAGCTCAAATAAAGGACAACCAAGTTCTTTTTACAGCAAGGATAAACCGAATCCAGTGTTTCAAGCACTTGATCAAGAATTCAAAAAGTTTGCAGGATATATGAAAAAGAGAGCTGGCCCTGGCTACAAGAAACCGGAAGAAGAATCATATTCAAGACCGTAAGATTCTAAATATTTGTCCCTTTAATATGCATGTATGATCATCTCAACGTTATCATTTCTCAAATTCTACAAATCTAAATTTAAAATATAGCCAATTGTTCCCTATTTTCTTATTTCTGATGATCTATGAGCATGTCATTCCTTTTTCCAGACAAGCTTATGAACTATACAAGCTTATGAACTATACAAGCAGCCATATTTTTATTCCGGTTCTAAAATCTTTAGAATTCATAGTCATTCAAAAATTTATTTGCCATACATTGTTATGATAGATTCAGTTTGTTTTTCTCTAAACCTATGCATTCTAGATATCCTACTACCGTAAACTATGAACTCTACATGTAACTATGTGCTCTACTAAAAAAACTGTAGAAGAGAGAATTATAAACATACATGAAAACATTACACCACACAATGTTTTGTTGATCAATACATTTTTATTTACATTTTTTCCAGTGCCGATACCTTATTTGAACTGTGGAACAAGTATGAGGCCCGTCTTCCCACAGTTTACTATCAGAAGAAATTACTTGAAATGGGAGATTTTCTAGTCACCATCAAGGTAAATTATCTGAATACTTTCACATATTTTTATTATCATTTTGTATAAATATTTCATTTTCTCAAATCATATGTAACTTGTGTAGCAGGGTGTGGAGTCATCCTTACCTTGTCATCTTGCCGTAGGGCGCCAATATAGCGGCCATAAAATGTCCCAGTCCCGTGATGGGACTCGAACCACGGACCTTCTTATCTGAGGTCGGACGCCTTGTCCCCATGACCAAAGAGGTTAACCCCGTCAGCAAGCTGACAAGGTAAGGATGACATCTGTGGGATGACACCACGCCCTACTACACTTGTTTAGGCATGGAATGTGAATGAAATTGAGAAATATTCTTGTGGATGATACCTTCAAGATCAGATAGGAGGATTCAAGCTGAGATTTAATAAATCATTTCATAGTACACCCAAGCAGGATACCTCATTCACAAATTTTATGACCAGATGTTTTTCATTTTAGTCACCTGTTATAACAAGATAATTGTGGACAATTTCCTATCATGATAATCCTTTTTGTGTTTTCCTTCGAAAAGGTAAATACAGTCATTTTGAAGGGTGATAAGGTTTGTTAAACTGCGTGTGTTGGTGTCAAGCCTTGGTGTTTTTGGTACAGGAGTACAAGCTGGCTCTGTGGCAGTGTTATGAAAGGTACCTACAGGCCTTTGGGGATGTCAATGTGGAGGAGATCACCAATGTAGACATGTTCCGAAACAATTTCTTCCCTAATGGTTTTGACGGAGAAAATGCTGGACTGACAGTGAGTGTGGCATTTTTTAGTTTCAAGATGAATTAATTTCTCTTTCTTTTCATTGGCACATTGATACTAAACAATATGTACATGTTGTATTTCGTTTCCGTTTTTGTCTAAGTTTTTGTTATAATTATGTGCAGAACAACATTCCCGAAAATACATGTATTAGTATCTATCACACTATCATCAGTTTTGTTGAGGCATGTTTTCTGTTCAATCTGTGTATGTGTTCATCATATCATCATGACAATTGCGAAATTGGGAAAGAAATCATTACTGTCCTCTTCGCAAAAAGATATTTTTATTGCAAATCTTTATGGTCATCATGTATGAAATCAACCAGAATTTTCTTTGTGTATTCAGTTCCGAGCCCTGATGGGGAAAAGTATCAGCATGTACCAGGTAGTGAAGCTATCTGACCCAAAGCTGCAGAACAAACAGTCTGTGGACCGCTGTGTGCAGATCCTAATTTTTCTCAGGCTTGTCATGCAAGTCGTCCTTCCCAAAGAGTCCCTCTGTTGGCTTGTTTATAATGGTATGTACAAAGTGTGGGATATAACTGCCAGGCAGACCAATAGCTTTAATACGTACTGTCCATTGCATAGATCACTGGAAAACAAGGTACAAGAACAATTTGAGTGATGTTTGTGGTACTTAGATTTGAAATCATGATATATGACCATTCTCATTTAGATCAGTTCTTAGTTCTTGCTACAGCTTAACAAAGATCTGAGGAAATCCCACTACAGGTCACGTCAGACCAACCTTTCTCAAACTTGATCGACCAATGGAATGAATGTCAAGAAGCCGACTTTAGCCAATCAGAATGCAGCTTTCTCGTGATTTATGGCACTAGTTTAAAACTAGGCTTCAAAACATATTTTGACAACTCCTCGATTAATTATTTGAAAACAGAACAAAAGAACATTCTGGAATGGTTAATAGATGACCTAGATTATATGGATTCAGTCATAAAGCCCATAACTGTCGTTTTTTCGAGGTTGCATAATTAGATCCGACCGTCACTTTTATGACTTGGCAAACAACGCTCTGATTCGTCAGATGAAAGGTTCCCTTAATGAGATGTCCTCATATCTTTGTTTAGCGGTAGCAAGAACTAGCTAGGATCTGATTTTAATGAGATCGGAAATATGACACAAATTCAAATAGCAATAATGAAATATATGTTGGTCTTTCAGTCAAAAGAGTGTGTCCGTCACTTATTGAACTCAGAGTAATGAAAGATAAGTGTAAGGAAGTAATACAATGCTCCACCGGTTTAAGATGGTGCTAAAGTTGTCCAATGTTTCAGGCACAGTGCACATATACAGCATGTCAAGACACCTGATGTCACTGGGACATTCAGCAAGGGTATGTTCACTGTGATTTATCCAGGACTTTCTTCTTGATATTATAAAGTATGTACCATATTAAGTATTTGCAATCATATTAGAACATCATAATTGAGGTATTTGCTGTTAAAGTCAGGTATTCAAATGTCCACTATTATGAATTGATTTCAAAACTGAAACACAAACATTTACCCAGAAATCTGTTTGTACAGAACTAGATTGTGAAATCAGTAAATGACAACACAAGATCAATGAATTATCAATAAATCATAATCAAACACACAGGTGGAGTATTTATGTAGCGACGTGCATGTGTATGTGTTTATGTCTGTGTGTGTATGTGTCTGTCTGCTTGTAGTAGCCCAGACTAATGGCGATTTAAGGTGCTAGCCCACTGAGATACCATACCGCAGTTTTACATGAATACACCCCTCAGACACAGTATACTGACCTCGAGCTGACCAGTCCTTGTTTTAACCTCTTAATGCAGAGCGCCAGGCATTATAACGACAAACTTATCCTATCTCATACTATGTACATCTTCTTTCTTGAACCCTGTTTCCAGCTTCTAAAACAAAAACATTTGCCTGAACACACCCCATCATCTCCATGGTTATGACCAACATCTGGGTCAATGTTGTGCTCTTGTGCACGGTAGCCTTCCACGCTTTGACCATGTGCATCTCTCTCCCATCTCATTTTCTTTCTCATCATCACTGTGTGTGGAGGGGTGTGGGTAGGCTCGTGGTTATAGCGTTCGCTCGTCACACTGAAGACTTGGATTCGATTCCCAACATGGGTACAATGTGTTAAGCCAGTTTCTGGCATCCCCTGCAGTGATATTGCTGGAATATTGCTAAAAGCGCCATAAAACCAAACTCACTCACTCACTGTGTGTGAACATGTTTGACAACCTAGAGAATATATTGTTTGTCTTCATGTTTTGCTTGTGGAGTAAGACTATCTCAACCATGGGCAAAAAAGACAAACAAAGGCCATTGTATTCCAAGTGTAGAAACATATACACTACATCGGATCCCCACAGTCTGTGTTATGACTTCCAGGGTCAGTGTACGCTGGACTCACGCTGTGCAGAATGCCATTCTCTGCCTTAGGCGGCCGTTTTGCTTTACATCCAACGATGTTGTAGACGATTGTTGGACCATCAATCTAAAGCAAAGGATTCTACTTAGAAGTTGTCCAAAAAATCTACATCCGCATTGGCAGTTTGTTCAGGGGAGCCTACCTTATCAAGTACTGACGACATTGCCTCAGACAGTTTCCTTAGGGACAACATCTCCAACCCTCACTGTTCAACCCCTCCTCAGTCTCCACCCCAAGGTGATTTTCGATCCATTCTTATCCCTGATCCCAAGTCTACTCTGCCCTCAAGTTCGACGACTGCTCCCATCAACACTTCTGTTCAAACGATCGAACACTCTTCTTCAAGATCCCTTTGCTGGATCCAGCACACTCCGCTCCTGTAACAGATCGTGTGAGGAATGACAGTTTGGTTGTTCGTGCCATGACTAACAGACGAGATACTCACAAGGATACGCAGGACCGATGATCAGTATTCAACGATAGGGATCAGTGATCTTGGCCCGGGATCAGTTTTAAGGATCTTCGTTCTCCCACTAGACGATCAGCAGAGAGCAATCCAATTTGACTTCAGCTGACCACTACTCAGCTCCCTTGCACACAGAAAGTTCTTCCTGTTACCGGGATTGGTCCCCCATGATAGACTACCAACATCAATGTGGGAACTTCAACTTTTGGGATAATCCACAGTTCAACGCCTTCAGAGCTAAATAGTTATCTTTACCATTGGGATCCATACTACCAGAGACTGGGGTACTCATACCCTCCAGAGTTTTCAGACTACCAATCTAATGCTGACTATGTTCACTCCCCGCTTTGTCATCCGCCAACTGTTCATTCTTACAGTGACAGCCCTGGAATGCCATAGAATGCCTCTGCCCACTTCCCGTTACCTCCAGGTTTTATTCACCAATTTTCTTTGTTTCAAGAAAAGACAATCAAAAGCTATTGCTGGTCTTCTATTTGAAATTTTTCAATGCAAAGTATTTGGAAGTTCCGCCTCACTTTCGCATGACATAAAACATGCTCCTTGGCATGCTCATTCATCCTGGCGATATCATGGTCAGCCTCGTCCTAAAAGATGCTTATCTGCACATCCCCATCCAACGGGAGCGCCACCATTTTGTTTATTCTCCAAGGCTGTCATTACCTACAATCCTACAATCAAGCGCACACAGGAACCGATATCCTTTGTCAACAGCTCAACTTCACACGTCCTCTACAGCAGCTTGGTGGGTTGATTATCGTTGACAAGTATGAGGTCATTCCAACCCAATCACTCCAATTCATCGTGGCTCTCTTCAGCAATCAACAAGCCATGATGTTTGTTCCTCAAGATCATTGGATGAAGATTAAACGGTATGTTCCATTGGCACTCAAACAACCGTTCCAGCTCTGACAATGGCAACTGCTCCTGTGTATCCTGATTCCAGAGCAAGCTCTTACCTCACGAGGTCAACTGCATCTACGACCACTTATCGACCTCCGAAACATAGCCAGAGACAACCCCTGGAACTTCCGGTGCGGTCCAACCTTCTGCTCCATCCACACGGTCTGTTGCCACACCCTCATACCCGCATGTTATCGTCTGCACGCCTGACACACCTGCAGAAAGCCAAGGGCTATTCGGCTAGAGCGACCGAGGCTATTGCTTCAGCCCACCGTCCATCTACAGGGGGACTGTATGCTGATAAATGATGCTTGTTCCAGGCATTTTGTTCTGACAAACACCAGGATCCGATGACAGCGTCACCGCAGATCCTGGATCAGTTCCTTCTGTACTTGCGTAGCACCCGTCGGTTGAAGGGCTTTCCACCCCCACATACCTGGTCGCGATCTACTCCGTTCTGGCCATCCCGGACGATCGGAGAAAGACGAAAAATTCCCGACCTACGGGCCTGGCTGCGCTCGTTCAGTCTTGAAGACCTGAAGGCCAAGTTCGGACCGCCTGCGTTGGATCTGAATGTGGTCTTCAACGCCCTTCGAACCACTCCCCTCGTCTTCCTTCTACGACCTTATGTAGAAGACGGGTGTTTCTACTGGTTTTGACTACTGCCGCTCGAGTCCATATACAGCACGCCCTCGATGTCTCCCGTGCCCGGTTCGAATGCGGTACCCAGGGCGCCGTTCATCATGGACCGTACTGGGACGTCAGCGTAAAGACTCAACTCCCAGGACAGCCTGATAGATCATTCCTTGTCCCCTCCCCCCTCGTCCAGTGTGGGTGCCGAGGATGAGGATGAGCGTCATTATGCCCAGTAAGGGCACTGAAGGTTATTCTACGATCTAAAGACTGCCGCAAGTCTAGGAAACACCTTTTTCTGCCGGTCTCCCCTTCGTCGCAGTCGTTGGTCAGCCGGAATGCTTTTCCCTGTGGCTCCGGGCGGTCATCCTTAAAGCTTATGAGCCGCCGGATTTGACCCTCCCCCCAAAGGCTATCACCTGAAATAAAATGAGATCAGGGCGATCGTATTTACACTGCTTCTTCACGGTATATTGTTCCATCCAGTCGTTCAGGGAAGCCTGTTCGTGGCGATTGGACACCGCCTTCACCAACCATTACTTCCGTGATGTAGCCTTGAAAGTTGTCGCCGGCATTCACAGTTTTGGTCCCTGGTTGTAGCCCAACAGGTCATCTATCTCCGACTCCACTGATTCTCCGATACCCTGAGCGGGTGTTTATCACCCCAGACGAGACGGCTCTCTTGCGTTCCGCATTCGCTCTTAGGTCAGTTTTAGTTTTGGGTTACCCGACTCATTCTATTGCTGTCACCTATCCGGGTTTTACTTTTTGCATCAACTCTCGTTTCCTGACGACAGGAATGGTAGTAGATGTGGACACCGGCGCCAACGCCAACGCCAACGCTGCTGCTTCTCTGATACCTGAGCGGTGCCCGTCGACCTCACCGGTGTTCCTTGCCTCCAGCCTAGAGGGCTCTCCTGCGTTTCGCATTCGCTCTTAGCATTGGTCGTAGATTTTGCCGCCGACGCCGCTGATTCTTCGATTCCGAGTGGGGCCCGTCGAACTCTCTGGTGTTTATCGCCTCAGATTAGAGGGCTCTACTGCGTTTCGCTTTCGCTCTTCGGTAAGTTATATATTTTGGCTACACGCCTAATTGTATTTCGGTTACCTATTCGGGCATTTCGTTTTTGCATCGACTCTTGTTTCCTGAAGACAGGAATGGTCGTAGATGTTCCGGTCATCACTTGTATGCGGTGCGGATTCATCGGACCTTGATGAGGGTTTAATATGGTTCACATCTGCAGGTATGCCCACCGGCCATGCCGTCTGATAAAGATGCAATACGGAGTAATGCAGGATAAGTTAAAAAATTTAGTAAAATCTAAATATTTTTTACATTTGTATAGTTATCCTGCATTACGAAGTCTAAGTGCCCTCCCTTTCGCTACGCTACCTCCCCACGAAGTTTCAGATGTTTTGTTTAAAGCAGTTATGTCTTTTGGTGTGACGTCATGACTTCCGGGTCACGTGCCGACTGTGAGAGGGCGCTGCCTCCTGGGCTGGTTGGGACAACTTTCTTCAGCAGCTGGATCTCACACAGTTCGTCTCTCTGTCAAAGACAGCAGTAAATGCAATACGGAGTAATGCAGGATAAGTATACAAATGTAAAAAATATTTAGATTTTACTAAATTTAATTATTTATCCTTTCTCACATGCGATATATCCACCTGATCATCCCTGCATCTCAGTTCCCTTAGCCGGACAGCTCAAAGAAAGGGAATGGCACATGGTCAAAGTATGGAAGGTTTCCATTTAGAAGTACCTTATTGATCCGGTTGTTGGTCGTAACCATAGAGATTCTGGGGTGTGTTTGGGCCAATGTTTTTGTTTTAAAAACTGACAACAGGGGTCAAGCACATTTCCACATAGGATCGAAGAAGAAAGAAGATATGCATAGTGTGAGATAGGATAAGTGTATACATATACAATTAAGGCTGAAATTTCCAAGAACCATCTTTTAAAATCTTTTCGTATGACACCCTTGAGATTGAACCACCAGACCTTCCGTTCTCCAGACATACGCTCAACCACTAGACCACAGAGGCCATCATCAAACACACAGAATAGGTTTACAATGATAGGCAATACAAGAAATCAAATATGTGGGAGCAGCATAAGAAATATGTGTTACTGTCGTTTTTTAATCCAGAGTAGTGTTGGAAGCTGGCAGGAAAATCAGTGTATAGCTGGGTATCAAATCCACACTTGACAAGAAGATCACTCTTACAGTTATCCTTCTGGAAACTGACCCAATCCAGTACTTCTTCAACGAATCATTTATACGCAAAGACGAAGAGCACTAAATTACCAGCTGCCGACGACAGCACTCAACATTTTACCAGTGCTACAATCATTTGCTGCCACACACATGCTTTATTCAACTGGGAAATTGTAAATACCAAATTTGGTTATTATAGATGACCCTAGGTCTAGAAACATTGACATAAATAATCCTGGGAAAGTCTAGATGAACCTATTCGAATGCTTGTAGGTTGTTCTTAAACTTTTCATGTTGATTTTCACACAATGTATACCTGTATGTGATGCTTGAGACAAAACTAAATAAGTGTTCAATGATGATATGGCATTGATTATAATAATATTAGATCACCCTACTGTCTCGAGATTCATATAAGAAGTGTGAGTTATGGGTAAATAGTGTCTATCTTGTAGTTAAATGCCTAATGCAACTATGTAAACAAGCAGTGGTGATAAATAGAACAATTTGAAAATATAGGATCTCTGATCTTGGTGATGCGTACTGTGTTTGTGCAGGTCCTCGAGTTCCTGCTGTGGGCCAGCATGTGTATGGAAACCTCTGTACCACTCCTGGCTGTCAAGTACCTCCCCTGGCGCACCACCCTCTACACTGCTGTGTGTCAGTGCTACTATGACTGCAAGGCAGGACAACATGCAGAGGTTGGTGGCCAATAGTTCTAATCAGTCAAAGTGAAATTGCCTGGGAACCTTGTTTTTGTTTATGAAAATATATTCATGTGCAATAAGTAAAAGGTCCTTCCTTGGAGTGAATGTAGCCCTGTAGGGATAAGATTTCTATCAAATTCTACATCAGAACATGCAACATAGATGAAGGTTATCAATGTGATATCTCACAGAATATCTGCAATAGGCATGTCTATGAGATGCATGGCATGGCTCGATTAAGCTATATAAAACATGCACCAGTGCAACCGGTTATTGTAAAATGCACCTTAATATTTTTGTCCACATGCACCAAGTGCATGTCATAATCTATGCATTTTTTGTGTAACCCTTACTTGATCCCTTCAACACAACATTGATCTTTGAACACACTCAGTACCTCTAAGCTTTATTTACCATACTACATCACTAATCACTGTGTTATGTGTAATTTGCCATGCTTTTGGGGGGCTTGGCATCATTATGCTGATTATGTGCACATTTCAACTTTGGAATTTATGGGACTAGGGTGCAACCTGGTTTTGTCTGGTGCAATTAGGTTTTCATGTCAACATGAGTCAAGTTGAGTCAAGTTCCTTATATTGAGGGCTGCATGGTGATTGTTGCAGGGCTTTGCCCGACGTGGACTGGCCAAGATCAATGAGCTGAGTAAGCTGGAGGGACTCAGTAGTTCCCAGGAGACTCCGGAGTCTGAGATTGCATTCAGGGAGGCAACAGTCAAGGTATGTCAATCTTTGCCCTCATCATGTCTATTCCTTATGTATTCCTTTATGAATTCCAGTGGACATATTTAGGTTATTTTAAGTTCATGTGGACACAACCTCCCCTGTAGGATGCTGGTCAAGCAGCAATAAGACCCTACAGTCTTTTGTTGTGAAATAGGGAAATGTTCCACTCGTCTATCGGTGGTGTAAACATAGACAAAATTTAAAACATCATGTTTAGCTCCTGGTCCTAACTGACTTTTCTTCATGTAAAAAATTAAATTGAGTCAGAAAAACAATTTATTTGCTTAAATAAAATGCTTTTTTAAAGATAGAATAATTTGATAAAAGTTAGAAAAAAATCATTGAAATAAGTCATTTGTGATCCTGAAAACTGTTCCATTCAGGTGATGATGTCCATTTTATGTGACCTTAAAGAAGTGGACAATGAATTTGGTAGTTCACTTATCCCTATCCATAATGAGCACAGTCAGCAGGCAGTCTTTGGTTTTACAGATGGCTGTGATGGTGTACAAGAGATCCGTCATGGAGACCAGGAGGAAACCAAAAGGATTGTTGCGGCCAAAAACACGGGCAAACCTCAAGGATGTTCTCAATGTAAGACACTGTACAGAAGGTGTTTCCATCCAATAAATAATGTGAAGCTATTCCAGTGTTTGATTGTTATGCCATAATGATCGCCAAGGAACGTTTAGTTTTGACGTGTATGCTTTTTGTCCAGCTTCCATGGCCTCGCACACCAAGTGAGAAGATGCTGGCAGACATGTTTGAGGGGAGTGCTGCCCAGATGCTGGCAGTGCTAGAGAGCCTCCAGGACACGAACCGCCGTATCCTGCTCACATCCGCACCAGCTCCAGACAATGAGCCAGAGATCCTTGATGTCTTCTGTGAACTCTTTATGGCAGCACAGGAGATCCTAGCAGGTAGGGGGAACTACTTTTGCCTGTCATCGCTCCAGTGATCTTTTCCATGTGTATGGACAAGAAATGAGATTATAATAAAACTTTTTGAAGACTTGACTATTGTACAGTTTTGTTATTCCCATTCAGATGTCACAGATTTGTCATGACTGAAATTTCAACGTTACATTTACCAGCCTCTTCCATGATACCAGACTTTCTATAATGTAACATAATATAACTAACAAAATAAAGTTAGTAGAGATTGTTAGCAGACGAGGAGAAGTGTTAGTTAACTTCGATAGCATCTTTTAGAGAAGATGTAACAACAGGTCTGATTTTATTACACTGAATACATGCTCACTAACCAATGATAAGTGAGTAAGTTAATGTTGTATTCAAGCTATATCACAGCAACATGTAAATAATCAATTCTTTGACAGATAACCATTGGTTGATAGCATGAGCAATGATCCCAGGTTTTGGATTGTGAATACACACAATGAGCAACTGTGAAAAAACAATCCTAACTACTTAGAACAAACATGTGTCTCATGTGTCTCATTGTCACATGTGTGTCATGTGTCTCACATGTCTCATATGTCTCATTGTCTCACGTGTCTCATTGTCACATGTGTCTCAGGTGGTGGAGGCCACAAGCCACCAGGTCCCAAGCCCATGAGTTCACTAGGCGGTCATCCTCTGGCCTCGGTGGTCACTGACAGGCGCCTCATAGAGATGGCTACAAAAGGTGTGTATATGAATCATTAGGAGGCTAATAGAATATAGGCTGCAATGGAACCAATTAAATCTTAATATTCCATGAAGGTTAGTGTAAGGTAAATAGAATTCTTGTAATCTTTTTGTAATGAATGAAAGTTCTTGCTTTAATTTATGCCATTTGCTTATAAAACATGTATTAAAAAATTGTCCATGAAACCAATGTTGTTCAATGAGTAGATTTATGGTTTTGTGTATGTCAAATACAGGTGAGGATGGTGTGCCTATCAGTGCCGTCATCAAACTGGTCAAGCTGGCCTTCAACTATGAACACTGGGATACGTTTGACCTCCTAGTGGATCCCCTCCTTACTCAGTTGAAGGTAGGAACCTTGTTCAAGGCTATACACAGGATGCAATGTGTGTTTGGCAGACCGCCTCTGTGGTCTACTGGTGGGGCGTCCGCCCCCAGAGTTGAAGGTCGGGGGTTCAATGCCAGGCTGCATCGTGAAAAGATGGTATTTGTTCTTACCCTCCCTGGCGCTCAGCATTAAGGGGCTAAAACAAGGACTGGTCGGTTCGGAGTCAGTATACTGTGTTTGAGAGGGGTGTTCATGATAAACTGTGGCATGGAAACTCAGTTGGCAGGCACTCTAAATCTGCATTAGTATGGACTGGTACAAGCAGCCACACACGTCCATGCACGTCACTTTATAAGTGCAATAGGCTTGAAAGCAACTTTAAACTCTATTTCACTTCACGTATGTATGTTTGTGCACAGGGAAAGGACTTTTTCATTCTTAAAAATACTGTGATGTTTCACAGATTTCTTTGACTTTTACTTTTTTAATAGTTACATAACATCTAATAATATCATATATGCATTTTCAGTGAGTGAATATTGCCAAGATCTGAATCGTGAATGTGAGTGTTGTATGTTATCTAGGTGTTGAGTGAAGACAGATATATGTGGGATGGCAAGGCTCTTGAGCTGCTGCAGGTCATGGAGAGACTCAACAGTAGCAACCGACGCCACAAGCGGATGGTCAACGTCACAGAGGAGGAGAAAGAGGAAGAGCCTGCATCCGGGGCAGCCAACCCTCCCCCATCCACTGTACCAGGTTAGGGATAAAGACCCTTGCCCAAATGGGAAGATGGGTAGCCAAGTTGTCCAATCATTTGACAATCATGCTGAGATTCGGGTTCTGTTCCCCATATGGGTACATTATGTTGAAGCCCACATTTGGTCTCCTCCACCATGTCTCTGAATCAAAACCAAACTTACTTTTGGCATCCAATGGCCACGTATATTGGCCCGACAGCAGTAGTTGTCATGTCAGCAGTATTTGACATTTCGGCAGAGAGCGGTAGTTGTCATGTCAGCAGTATTTGACATTTAGGCAGGCAGCGGTAGTTGTGTCCGCAGTATTTGACATTTAGGCAGGCAGCTGTAGGTGTCATGCAAGCAGTATTTGACATTTAGGCAGGCAGCGGTAGTTGTGTCCGCAGTATTTGACATTTAGGCAGGCAGCTGTGGTTGTCATGCCAGCAGTATTTGACATTAAGGGAGACAGCGGTAGTTGCTGTATCAGCAGTATTTGACATTTGGGCAGGCAGCTGTAGTTGTCATGCCAGTAGTATTTGACATTAAGGGAGACAGCTGTAGTTGTGTCAGCAGTATTTGACATTTGGGCAGGCAGCGGTAGTTGTTGTGCAAGCAGTATTTGACATTAAGGGAGACAGCGAGAGTTGTTGTGTCAGGAGTATTTGACATTTAGGCAGGCAGCTGTAGTTGTTGTGTCAGGAGTATTTGACATTTAGGCAGGCAGCGGTGGTTGTTGTGTCAGGAGTATTTGACATCTAGGCCAGCAGCTGTAGTTGTTGTATCAGCCGTATTTGACATTTATGCAGGCAGCGGTGGTTGTTGTGTCACGAGTATTTGACATCTAGGCAGGCAGCTGTAGTTGTTGTGTCAGGAGTATTTGACATTTTGGCAGGCAGCTGTAGTTGTTGTGTCAGCAGTATTTGACATTTAGGCAGACAGCGGTGGTTGTTGTGTCAGCAGTATTTGACATTTAGGCAGACAGCGGTGGTTGTTGTGTCAGGGGTATTTGACATTTATGCAGACAGCGGTAGTTGTTGTGTCAGGAGTATTTGACATTTTGGCAGGCAGCTGTAGTTGTTGTGTCAGCAGTATTTGACATTTAGGCAGACAGCGGTGGTTGTTGTGTCAGGGGTATTTGACATTTATGCAGACAGCTGTAGTTGTTGTGTCAGGAGTATTTGACATTTTGGCAGGCAGCTGTAGTTGTTGTGTCAGGAGTATTTGACATTTTGGCAGGCAGCTGTAGTTGTTGTGTCAGCAGTATTTGACATTTTGGCAGGCAGCTGTAGTTGTTGTGTCAGGAGTATTTGACATTTATGCAGACAGCGGTAGTTGTTGTGTCAGGAGTATTTGACATTTTGGCAGGCAGCTGTAGTTGTTGTGTCAGCAGTATTTGACATTTAGGCAGACAGCGGTGGTTGTTGTGTCAGGAGTATTTGACATTTATGCAGACAGCGGTAGTTGTTGTGTCAGGAGTATTTGACATTTTGGCAGGCAGCTGTAGTTGTTGTGTCAGCAGTATTTGACATTTAGGCAGACAGCGGTGGTTGTTGTGTCAGGAGTATTTGACATTTATGCAGACAGCGGTAGTTGTTGTGTCAGCAGTATTTGACATCTAGGCAGGCAGCTGTAGTTGTGTCCGCAGTATTTGACATTTAGGCAGACAGCGGTAGTTGTTGTGTCAGGAGTATTTGACATTTATGCAGACAGCGGTAGTTGTTGTGTCAGGAGTATTTGACATTTTGGCAGGCAGCTGCAGTTGTTGTGTCAGCAGTATTTGACATCTAGGCAGACAGCGGTAGTTGTTGTGTCAGGAGTATTTGACATTTATGCAGACAGCGGTAGTTGTGTCAGCAGTATTTGACATTTAGGCAGGCAGCGGTGGTTGTTGTGTCACGAGTATTTGACATTTTGGCAGGCAGCTGTAGTTGGTGTGTCAGGAGTATTTGACATTTTGGCAGGCAGCTGTAGTTGTTGTGTCAGCAGTATTTGACATTTGGGCAGGCAGCGGTAGTTGTTGTGTCAGGAGTATTTGACATTTTGGCAGGCAGCTGCAGTTGTTGTGTCAGCAGTATTTGACATCTAGGCCGGCAGCGGTAGTTGTTGTGTCACAATATAGCCTTGGGCTTGCAGCAGTAGTTGCCACCTATGATATCTGGGCTGGGCAGTGGTAGCTGCTTTAGGCCATCAGCAATCTCATTGAAATCAGATCTTAGTTTTCGCTACCGCTAAACAAAAATCTGAGGACATCCCATTACGGGTCACGTCAGAACGACCTTTCGCAAACTTTGACCGATCAATGAAATGACTGACAAGAAATCAACATTAGCCAATCAGAAGGCAGCTTTCTCGAGCTTTACAACACTTGTTTCAAACTGGAGACTACGTTCGAAACATATTTTGTCGTATTCTCGATTAAAAAAATTAAAACTGATATGAAGAACATCCTGGAATGGCTTATAGATGGCCTAGATTGTATGAATATAAACATAAAACCCGTAACTGTCATTCGGAATACCCTCAGTCAAATATTTCGAGGTTGCATGAATCGAAAACACATTCCGTCTGTCACTTTCATGATCTGGTAAGAGACGCTCTGATTGGTTGGATGAAAGGGCGTAATGACGTGACCCGAAATGGGATATCCTCAGATCTTTGTTTAGCGATAGTGAGAACTAAGATCTGATTTCATTGAGATTGGCCATCAGCGGTAGCTGCTAATTTGCTGTTGGCAGCACAATAGCTGCCAAGCAATGATAGCTTTTCTTATCTGTATGTATGCTACAAGGGGTAGTTGCCATGGCAACAGAAGCTTAGTAGCTGCACACCCTCGGCCATTTAATTCACTCTTCTTATAGGCATGGGCATCCACTGTATGGTAGCCGATGCTCTCTTCCCTTTGGCATATTCTGCAATATAACAGGATTATTGTGAAAAGAGGTGTAACTCCATACTCTTTCACTTGTCCAAATAATGACGACATATAAGAATACACCCCACACAAGTTCTACTATCCCTCCAGACAGCTTTAACATTAGATGAAATGGTTCTGGCAAAATGGAATGATCTGTTTTCTGTCCATGGTCAGTTGTGCTCACATTAACAATATTCTGTACTGGTTTTGGCAGGCAAATATTGACTGAGGTGCAAGTCTGGCACAAATACAAAAAGCTTCAATCATCAATGTTATGACAGAATATATATTTTTTCCTCAGGCACTTCTGTGAAAGCTTTTGGCATCCAGGATGATCTGATCAATCTTGCTGAAGTCCTTCTGTCCATTGTCAGCGGACCTTTCCTAGTGAGTACATCCCAGCAAACGAAAAAACTGATGATACAGCGTTTCTTTTTTATGTTTTGGCAGCATTAGAAAATGACTTTAACACAACATTAAATTATATGGTTTTCTTAATGTTGCCACAACGTTATGGTGTAACATTACCATAACAGTAACACTTTGCTGCAATATTGCTTTATTATACAATTTTGTTCATGATTAATATGTCTGTCATATATTCTCACATCACTTCTTGACAGCTGATATGTTTAATGAAGTTTGTGCTAATTTCCTTTTAAATACTGTTGACTCTAGCGCTGAGCAATCAAACAAACTTTCTCCTCTGTGCTCATAAGATTGATTGGCCAGGTTTGCTCATCCTGGGAAAACATGTGTCATGTCATGCAGTTGTTTGTTCCATGAAACACCTCATGTTCGAGCAATCTGTTTATTTTCAAGAACAATTCTCCAAACAACCAATTTTTTACTTATCCTGCATTACTCTGGCTCATCTAAGCCAACCACACTGAAGATCCCTGATGTCAGATTTGTGTTTATTGAGACAGAGATAAGGAGATCGCTCAAATCATTTTCGTCACTAGCATCATCGACCCAAGCCATGGAGCAGGACTTATGGAAAATTAATCCAATTTGCCTAGACCATTTTCAGACTGTGGTAGATTTCCAGCAACGCCAAATTGACTACAGAGGAGCCTATGAGGAGATCATGGCTACACACAGGATTGGCTACCAGAATATTCCAGGGCAGGAGTGGGGATAAGAGGGGGAAGCATTGAAGTGTTGGGCAATCATGACTGGGAGCTCCCAGCCCCAGTCCTCCCAATTGTCAACACCCATGTACGTGGGAGGCTGGGCATGTTCTGGCAGAACTGGATCGGGCTGGCGGACGCTTACATACTCAACGCACTGCACTATGGTTACCAGCTGAACGTAGTGGTAGAACTGCCGTTGATCAAAGCTCTTCCTAGGAAACTGAAGTCCAACATAGACATCTTGCTGGAGAAAAGTGCAGTAGAGATTGTTCATGCCCCAGCACTTACACTCTCCCATCTTTCTAGTACCGAAAAAGGACTCAGACAAGATGCGGATGATCCACAATCTCCCTGTGTTCAACGAGCGCTACATGGAGCATCAACCTTACTTACGTCTCACAACCTTGATACTACTCAAGAACAGCAACAATGCTTTCGACTCCTTGATCAATCACGACTTGCAGGATGCGTACCTGCATGTACCTATCCATCCCTCCAACCGCAGGTTTCTCAGGTCTCTCATCTGCTGGTCTCTCTGAAGGATAAAACTGAACGAGTATAACCGTCAGTTTTTTCATTTGCCATACGGTTCCCTTAACATGCATATCATTGAAAGGGATTATATACATTGAGGGCCCCACCGTCTGATACAGATGCATTAAGGAGTAATGCATGATTAGTAACAAATTTAGTAAAATCTAAATATTTTTCACATTTGTAT